GGCAGACCCAGCGTGGCCTGCGGCAGCTTTGTGACTGGCGCTGCAGTGAAACAAAAGAATCCAGGTTTGCTCCCAGACCTCAGGTGAATTCTGTGATGCTAGCAGCTAGAAAAAACCCTTTGTACTCGTCAAGTGAGCAGCTTTGACATGGCATTAGCCAGGGCTCGGAGGGAGAAGGGCTGCATTTTAAGAGAGGGACATGCAGCCCAAAGAGGTGATCCAAGAGTCACCTCGCCTGTGGAATGTTTCCTGCAGTCTTGCTCTGGTCTTCAAAAAGGAAACTGAACCTGCAAGAATTCACCTCTACATAATGCCTCCCACGAGCACTGCAAGCCAAACCATGGCAACCACCCAACCTGCCAGTCAGCATCACAACTCTGCATCCTTCTCCTTGGAGCAGCCCAGCAAGCAGCTCTGCTACCACAGCACCACTTCCATTTCTCCTTCCTCGGCTTTGGAGAGCGGCACAAACAATTTTACCACCCACTCCAGCAGAGCATCATGGGGGCCCTCCTAGTGCTCAGAGTGGAGACCCACACTGCGCGCAGGGAAAGCAGATACATCCAGAGACTCAACTCTTTCACTTTTCCCTGCAGGGTACAATAGTGTGGTTTGTAGTGTGGCAAAGTGCTGGCTGTGCCCCCATGGTCCTGCGCACCTTAGGTGGTTATTATAGGCCTCAGAGGCTCGCTGTGACCCTCCACGCTGCCTATTGCGGTTTCCTAGAGGTCAGGGTTACAACTTATTGAGCCATTTTCATCACTAACGGGGAGGGGGAAATCCCTCTGTAACCCTGGACCTCCTTTTCCCAGAATCCGGTCTTTCTTGGTGGGAACCCAGGCCTGCCCACTACACTGAGTTTTGGCCCAGGGACCCCAGGCAGCAGCAACTGCTCAGGGTTTCCCTCTATCCCCAAGACAGCAGCTTTTTCCCTGGGCCACTTCCCCAAATGCTCCCCTAGTGCCTTTTCTCTGGTATCTGTCTGAATCTTTCCCTTCTCAGCTTCTCCACAAACACACTTCCTCCTCAGGGTCCCTCCCTCAACCAGGGAAACCTTTTAAAGCAGCTCCTCAGGTTTTAATTGGCTACAGGTGTCTGATTAGCCTGCTCCTTCAGGCCAGCTATTAACTAGCCTCAGGTGTCTGCCTGCCTTAATTACAGGATAGCAGGCTCTGGGAGTTTATTCAGGAAATAGAAAACTGTTTATCTAGCGCCCTGAATGCCTGCCCTCCATTAGAGTGCGACAGCCAACTACTCTGGGTCTGTCACAGTAGTAGCCACTTGTTCTACAGCAAAGCCCTGCCTGAGACAGACGGACTTGGCACTAACTATCCAGTCCTAACTGCCATTGAAGAGAAAATTTTAATGCAAGAATAAAGTCACGGAAATGAGGAAGAGCTGTAGGTCCCACCAGTAGCAGACACACATCTTGGATTCCTGTGCATGCTTTGCAACTGAACAGCAATATGTGAAGCTGCATAAAGCCAGACACCAGAACAGAAAACAGCCGGCGCACTCCCCAACGCGACAGCAAGGGCCACAGATCGGGGTGCCGGAGTGGGGCCGGGGCCAGGACTGCACAGGGACACTCACTATTTTTTCATAGTATTCTCGCCGACGCTCGGCCCGTTTCTTATAATCGACCATCATCCCACGGAGCTTGCGCTCATGTTTCCGGGCTTCGTGCCACATCCTGCTGCCTGTGAGCTGTTAAAGGGAGAGAACACAGAACTGAGGAAAACCAGCAACCTTTCAGCATGCCCAGAGTCTGGGGGTGCCTCCAGGGATGCATGTCTACAGCCAAGGAGAGAAATACAGATGCCACTCTGCATGCAGACACCAGTATGCTCAGGAGTGGAGAGTTACGAAATGACTCCAGGAACAAACATGGTTGTAGAGAGCTGCAATGGGTGCCATAGCCATCCCCAACGGCTGCAATAAAACACTACTCCTAGACTCAGCCCCAAGGCACCAGTCACACAATGCAAGGATCCAGACACTAATGGCTCATCTGCACTTACTCTCGTGTAGCTGCCACACTTAGTGAAGACGTTATCTACACCAGGGTGGGCAATATGACAGCAGCAGTTCGCCAAGGCACAGTCTGGCTACGGTGCCCGTGCCAGGTGCAAGCCTGCCAGCACCCAGCCA